CTTCGCCATCTCGTCAGCCTTTTTCCACCGAGCATACTCCTCTTTCTCTTGGTCTGGTGCATTGTCAGCAGGCACAACCGGACAAGCCTCAACAGTTTCAAATTTGTACCCCTCAGTAGTTAACACAATATCCAAGTTCCTTTTCCAGTCAATATAATTGGGACCAACAAGTTTGTTTTCTTTGAGAATTACGGACAACGGATTGAAAGACATTTTGAATTCCTGGGATCATGCAAACATAGTCTTTACTCAGTCAAGTAGTTTTGAATTTATACATCAAATATTGATCCCATTAAAACAACATTTGAATAAATTCACCAACACCTCAAAACACCGAATCCCCGCAGGTCACTGAGTGTGGACGTCTACGGTTCAAACATTCGCAAGAGGAGGGATAAATCCCATTAGCAACATACTGCCCAACAGTACTCAACTAATAGTCGGTATCATCTTTTGGCCAGCGCAATTAACTTTTTAAAAGAATAATCTTTATAAAAGAATAAAAACGACCTTGTCCTTTGGGACTATCGTAATTATTTGCACTTTAAGCGTAACCCATTAATTGGTACTAAGTTTACTACCAAAATTATACGTCCACCTTTGGGTGACCCGTACGCTTTTGAAACAGCTCACTATAACCATCCCGAAGGAGATTCGTCCTTGTGAACCGTGAAATAAAACGTCCTTTGGCTCAAATTAAATCACTTCACTGACAAACCTATAATGGAGGCCTTGGATGTAATTTATTTCAACCCATTACACACTTAATATAATTTTTAGTTTATGGGATTTTCATAACATGTTTGTATTTGCACATAAGCAATCACGTAAAACATGCATGATTAATGAGCAATAATAAACTAGGAACTATAATCCAACTATCATGGCCATTAATCAATCTCCAATGTTACGGAGAAAACACTCCGTTTCGGGTATTGGAACTCCCTCTTTCACAGTGACTCCCACTGAATTGGTCGTCTCCGGGAAAGTCGCCATTGGATCATCACCATGGCATCCGTGTACGTGTTTATGCCTCGCCCCGTCAAGGTTGGTCCACGCCCGCCGGATCAACAATGAATAATATAAACAACAATTACATAATTCATCCTATGACCCACGCAGGAGCCGTACATGAGTTTCTATGAAAGCAATAAACTATGCGGTGTCCCACCGCGCGAATAATTATTACAAGCATTCACCAACCCAAAAATTCCTTGACATGTCAAAGGCTTTAAAAACACCATACATTCAACATGAATTAAAAACCATACATACGGGCCACAATAGTCGGATTCGAAACACCTGCAAAAACTTATTGCAATTTCTAATCTACTATGCCGCTGCGTCCGTACGCACATAATTCATGTAGACAGGCAAAGTCAAAAATTCAAACCGTGCACAAGTTTGCATTAGCCTGGGCTCTGATACCAGTTGTTGGGTTCTGTTAGGAACGTCAAACAACATGTACAGTATTGAACTTTATCGAAATAAATCCTAACGCAGCGGAATCTA